CCATCACCACTCACCCAAACTCATCCCAAATCACCTACTAGCTGTCATACATCATTCTAGACGTGGGGAAGCTCTTGGAGAAGCATTAGACGTGGAGAAGCACTTGAAGAAGTCTTGGACACCACAAGAACTTCAGAAAAGGGGTTTTTCTACTCTTATTGCATTCCTTATGTTTTCTCATTTCTATCTAAGTTTCTTTTCCATTATGAGCAGCTAATTTCATAACTAGGGCTTCGATGTAACCTAACATGAATGTTCTGGGTTTATAAGTTTGGAGTTTCAAGTTTGTTTCATGATTCATGTTCTTATTCATTATGCTTATAAGTTAACATGCTTGTTTGAATGATTGATCACGATTAGAACTTGTTTGTTAACTATCTTGGTTTGAATTAAGAGTATACACTATGCTTTAATTCGAATTGAACTATGAATAGGAATAGTATGTATGGACATTCGACAACAGGGATTAGATACATACTTGGTTGTTTAAAATGTTCTTCTATGCTTAATGTGTTCCTAATGCTTAATTTTAGGTTAGACAACAGATGATCAAATTAGGGAATTAGGAACACAAGGTTAGGACCAAACACCATGGCCTAATCATACTTTAGCTAGAATCAATCTTTGAATCTGAATTAGACTTGTTACTTGAATCTTTATAACCCAGAATTGAATTGTTATGGTGATTCGAATGCCCTAGTCTCAAAATCTGTTTTCCAACTCTTAAAACCACTCTTTGTTACATTTGTTTACTTGTTTTTGTTTGCAATTTCATTTTGCTTCTTTTGTTCAACAATCACAACCACTCTTGTTTTAAATTCTGTTTTAGACATAACCTCCTACTTTCTTGAATTTGGTAATCTAAGTACATAACTAGTTTTAACTTCTCAGTCTTCGTGGGTACGACCTCGTACTTGTCTTGCTATACTACTAATTGCCCCGTACAATTGCGAGTTAACATAATATTAACAACAATATGGTAGGATATTTTCAGATCTTATTTCATTCTTCGAAAGGAGGTATTTATAATACAAGGTTACACCCTAGTATGGTTGAATTAAGAAATAAGTGGAATCCTAATTACATAATATCTATACAAAAGGAAAAAAAATAAATAAAACCTTAATAGAATAGGATATATCTCGCCAACACTCCCCCTCAAGTTGGAGCAAAGACGTCACGCAGGTCCAACTTCACAAGCGAGTTGCGAAAAATACTTGTAGAAACAGTTTTCGTAAGAACATCGGCTAACTGATACTCTGAGCGGATGAACGGAAAGGAAACAATCTCCGCATCCAACTTTTCTTTAATGAAATTTCGATCAACCTCCACATGCTTTGTACGATCATCTTGAACCGGGTTATGAGCAATTGCAATCGCAGCTGTATTGTCACAATATAAATCCATGGGTTTCTTAGGCCCAAAACCAAGGTCTCTCAATAATCTCCTCAACCATAGTAACTCAGATACACCATGAGTCATTCCCCGATACTCGGCCTAAACCCTAGATCGAGACACCACCTTTTATTTTTTGCTCCTCCACGTAACAAGATTGCCACCAACAAACATAAAATACCCAAATGTTGAGCGCCTATCTGTAGCTGAACCTACCCAATCAGCATCTGTGTACCCTTCCACGTCTGTATGACCGTACTTGAAAAACATTAACCCCTTGCCAGAAGCCCCTTTGAGGTATCTCAAAATACGTGTCACGGCACCCATATGATCTTCACTAGGTGAGTGCATAAACTGACTCACTACACTCACTGCATATGCAATATCTGGACGTTTATGAGCCAAATAAATTAATTTTCCCACAAGCCGTTGATAGCGCTCCTTATCAATAGGAGCTTGATCAGGATACAACCTCAACTTGTGATTCTGTTCACTAGGAGTATCAATGGGTTTACAAGCCAACATTCCAGTTTTTGCAAGCAAGTCCAAAACATATTT